ATACAACCAGGAAAAATAAAAAATAAATTGCCATAGAATTCTGAACCTTGACTCCCACGATATCAGATTTTTACTAAACGGTTGAAGTGTCTAAAATAATTATTGATAACATCCTCATGATATCTAAAAAAATATTTTTTTAAATGATAATGATGCAATCAAATCTGTCAATTCATCTTTAACTTGTTTTTTATATATCGCTGAGTATTCTCCTTGTAGAGTTTTATGAAATAAAGGTTAAATGCCAACAAAAGAAATCCCAAAACTGGTATTATATTTATTTATTTGCAAATAATTGCACATGTGTGAAAGGCGTTGGGGGAGGTAGAAAGATTGATAATGGAAGAAACGGGAATTATTTAAGAGGCGCTGGATTATTTACACGATATTAACATGTTTCTAACTGACATATCAACTTAATATTTCAAATGTCACTGATACCATCATTAGTGGTGTTTAGTGAAAACCATATTCTAATGTAGTATTTTTGTGGTTTACATTATTGTAATTTTAGATTAGTAATTTACTGTTATGACATTTTCTTGCTACAAAAGTAACCTTATTCTCATGATACAAAACAATAAAGTTATCCAATATTACCAATATTATATCAATTTCATTTTTTAAATATCACAGTTACCCTCAATACTGGTGTGTAGTGAATCCCCTGTAACATAACATTTGTGTGGTTTATTTAAATGTTTGCCTGATTTTGGTAGAGTTCATTTTTTACACCTAGAGATAGACAAACATAACTGTAGATGTTTAATTGCTCTTTTTGCTGCACTTTTAGTGTACAGTTTTGCTGTTGTGCTGCTGTGTTTATTGTGTTTAATGTATTTTGTTACTCTGGCACAACAATTTCCTTCGGGATAAATAAAGTCTTATCTTATTCTTATGAAACATTCAATCAGCACCAGCCTAAAACCCATCACCCATGTTCACTAACGCACCTACAAGTCCTTATAATCTGCACTATGAACTACGTCATGTGGTGTTTGTTATGTGAGCAGAGGTTTAATTTGGTATCGCCAAGGGTCACTGCTCTCTCTCAAATGTATCCTAACTCTTCTGTCTGTCCGCAAAAAGACTTACTGTAGTGCCACATGGAAGCAGATTAACATGCTTACGCGTCAATGAGTTAATGATAGGGCCGTAGCGTTCTCCACTGACGCTGATAAAGGCCAGATGGACGTGGAGAATTAGAAAGTGAAAGAGAGCGGAGTGGAGTTCTCTGCAACCTTCATAGTCCTGGGCCCTTTTCATTTGTACCTACCAGCTGCTCTGCCTCTCACACAGGTAAGCCAGCTCTCTGTATTCCCTCAAGATTTCAACTTTTAATATTGATGTGAATAATAACCAGGGAAGAAAGTAAAGAGTAGCACAGGCAGGATATATAATTCAACCAATTTACTGTGCCAAGGAGCCTGGCACACAGCCAAGAGGGATAGAAGGAGTGGCGGGCCAGATAGAGCGCTGTGCCAATGCTTTAATGCCTGGCACAGGTGCATTGTTAAAGACACAGTTAAAATGATTCATTTTCAATGCAATAATCTGCTGTACACTATAACATGTCCACAAAAGGTCTATATAGCTTCCAAATGACTGCTAAATATGTTTTTCACCTTGAAACAGGAGCTGCACTTCAAACTCTGGAGCGTATCCATCACAAATGGGATTTGACTAATAACACTAATGGCAATTTTGAAATCTTAGATGGATCATTCCCACTCTTTAGCACTTGGTCGCTAAACCGGCGAGCCAGGTGTGGAGTGACCTTGAGGACAGTATTCACCACGGTGATGCATTTTTAGGGCAAAGCATTCTTTCTATTTTGTAACAGATTTGGGTTTGATAAAAGGAAAGCAAAAGGTATCAAATATAAATCAGTTTTCAATTTTCTTCTAAGGGAGCAGTGTAGAAATAACATTAAACCTTGGGTGGCTCATCTCTAAAATACTGTTTGTACATAAACACTTTAAAATGTGCAAGATCAAAAAGATAACAAACAGCCCTGGGGTCATTTTAACTTTAAAAATATCCAATTTTTGTAAGGATTCAGATCTACGACTATGACATCACCACAGTGAATAACAGCTTGAAGCCAACCTCGGTCAACCAGATGGAATCCTCGCCCCCATCCCTTTTCTGAATATTTGACTTTGCCCGCTTATGGCTCAAGCTAGTTTGTCAGACTTAGAGATTTGAGTCAAATATCAGCCAATGACTTTTCGGCCGCCTTTCATCCCTGCCCTTTGATTTCCAATAAAATAATGAATTGTTCAGTTTTCTGCTCACTTCAAAGCCCTTATTTTGAGTTTTGGTTTGCTGCGTGCCTACAGAGCTGTCTCTGAGTTATTATTACACTCAAAGCCTGGAGCTATCTGGCAGAATTTCACAGGAACATCGCAAAAAAATATCTATATCCAAAGTTATTAAAAGAAAGTGGGCTCATAATACCCGTGTGTCATTAAGAAACGTCTGATCAAACATCTCTTCTTCTTAGCTTTCAACCATCTGTCCTCGAGGTATTAAGTATTGATGGATTGGTTGAATCCGTTGGAGGAACCTAGCATATACAATTTTTATCAAATGTACTTTTTTCCCCCCTTATATAGGAGTGCCTCTTATGGCCAGTGTACCATATGCAGTGTCCATGCTGCTACTGCTGGCGCTCTACTCTCGGGGGGTGTCCTGTGCTCCAGCCCTCCACCTGTGCGGCTCCCACCTGGTGGACGCCCTCTACTTCGTATGTGGGGAGCTGGGCTTTTTCTACAGTCCAAACCGACCTCATAAGCGAGATCTGGAAGACATGCTCGGTAAGGCCAAGAACTTTTTTCACCGAGGGCCACATACAGAAAAATATACGAAGGGCTGGGCCGCTCACTAAAGATGAGGTATATTGCCTCATAAGTTATAAGATAGAAAAATCAATCAAATTGAGGTAAATTATGGTTGATATTGATGAAATAAACACACAGCTCTCCGTAGGGTTTCATTTATTGAGTTAGCAGCTCATCCCTTAAAACAGGAAGCTCAAATTGCTTATCATAAGAGGAAATATGAAGGGTATATTTCAAGGTTGTTATGTAAATGTGTTATTGGGCTTTTTTCTTATCAACTAAGATTTGCTAGAAAATGTTTTCAACTTTAATTGACTGAATTTATTCGAAAATTGGGTTTATTAACACATGAATACTGTTTTATATATTTGAACATATATATTTAAGAAGTACAATAGTAGATTTTTAATTTGTGGGCCATATATTCATTATACTTTTTTAATTTGCTGAGGACCGATTCAAAATGGTCCGCAGGCCGCATTTGGCCCCCGGGCCGTAGTTTGGACACCCCTGGTGTAGGAATACTCTGTTACAAGTGAAAGTTCTGCAATCAAAATGTTACTCAAGTAAAAGTAGAAAAAAAGTATTGGCATCAAAATATACTTAAAATACCAAAAGTAAAAGTACTCATTGGTCCATTTCAGATTAAAATATATTAGATTTGTTTTGATCATATTTATTGATGCATGAAAGTGTTGGTAAAGGTGCAGCTAGTTTGAATGACTATGTATACTGCAGGGTAGCTTGTGAATTGACTCCAGGTGGAACTAAAGTCTGATTTAAGACTTGATTATATTTAACCTCATTAATCCAAATCTGTATAGTAACTAAAGGTACAAAATGAATGTAGTGGAGTAGAAGTACAAGTAGCATAAAAAGGGAAATACTCAAGTAAACAACAAGTACCTCAACATTCTGTGTGAGAGTTCAAATTATAAATGGCATTACAAAATAAGAGATTATTGTCCATGGCGAAGGTTCAGCCCCACTTTTTTAAAAGTCCAAACCGACCTCATAAGCGAGATCTGGAAGAGATGCTCGGTAAGGCAGTAAGTCAACTCCAGGAACAGCTTTGTTTAACTTGTGGAAAATAAGTTCTAATGGCCCCCTTGATGGCAGGAGTTCAGAGAGGAACAGTGCGACAATGCCCCCGACATACAAGGCTAGTTTTGTGTCCCAGCAGACACTGCCCACTTTCAAAGTTCAGTCTCAGCCTAATGAGAATGCCAATTTGGATCCTAGCTAGTGGAGAAAATAACTCGCTTGAAACTAAATCTATGTATTTGTCCGATCATTAGTGTGCAAAGCCCGTCTCCGGCCTCTTTTGAATTCTCAGTGTTGTGGCTAGGGTTTTTGGTGTTATATCTATGATGTGACAAATCCAATAATCATGCTACTTGCAAAGATCCCCCAGCTTCCTCATTACATCATTACATCATTCCCAAAACGCATTATTTGGATGTTCTGCATCAAACATTCCATCGATGTTTTCGAAGTGAACTTCAGAGGTGCGAGCTATGATATGCCTCTGTTGGGATCGCCGTCATATTCTCGTTTTGAAGTGGAGGCTAACAAGACTGAATGGATTTGGGAGATTAGATTACCTAGCCATTAAGTCTCCATTAAAGTGTGAACAGTTTAAATGGTGGTTTTGAGTGAACTGGAGGTTTGAACAGCAGGATTTAACACACGGCTATGGAATCTTTCTCAAAAGGGTTCCTGTCTAAAAGGGAGCAGCGGCCGCGGAGGGCTAATTCTGGCCACAAGGAGACGAAGGTGAAGAGAGGCATCGTGGAGCAGTGCTGCCATAAGCCGTGCAGCGTTTACCACCTGGAGGGCTACTGCAACTGACCCATCTCTCCACAGCTAGCATGACTCATAGCTTGTAAAAAGTCCATTTGTGGACACGGTACTCGCTGGCTATGTCTTATCAACTAAAGGAAATAAAGCTTCATGACCCATAACCCGAGGCTCCTCTCTGCAGAGAAGTGAGTTTGTGTTCTTTGTAGCAGATATATAGTGTGGATGTGTGCAATAGACTTGTGCTTGGCTCCATCTGTGGCTGTAGTCCTACAGTGCCATCTATTGGCTCAACACAGACATGACACATATTGTTTTCACACTTGGGGAGTTCATAAATCTCGGTAACACTTTTGTTTAAGAAGAGTGTTAGATTCTTTCTTTATTTACAAAGAGGAAAAGATTAAAACAAGAGCTATACAGCATGACATGTTCACTGTTCTGCTACCCCTACCCAAAGAAATGCTAAGGTAGTTAAAAGAATAAAAAAGAAATTCACATGTCATATTTAAATGCTGACTGTGTCATTGTCCTCTGGATTATGTGTCTACTTGCAGCCATCTGTTTGCTCGTTATTTTCCTGCACACGTACAATCTGCTCATTACAATTATGTTTCAAACTTGCTGGCTCTATGTAAAAGTCTGGCATTAAAACAGCTGAGAAGAAAACCAGTTAGAACAAAATGGGACAAATTATTCGTACAAATCAGTATTTAAACCATAACTTTAGATATAGTAGTCAGTTCTCGTCTGGCAGAAGAGCTCCATTATGCATAATGGTTTCCTGACAAATAGAAAAAAAGAATTAGGCATTCACACAAATATTTTAAGGTGACATTCAACTATATTACATATCGTCATATCTCCTAAGATCGCATATATGTTCAGGGTGTAGCAGTTTAGCACTCACCTTTAAGAGTTTCAGTTTTTATGTTCTCCTTGTCGTGCTTGAAGGCTTTGCTGGGATCAAACTTGCGGCGAGGAGTAGCGGGGGGGTTTGACTTGAGCTGCTCCAGATCACTCTTCTGCCGGTTCACCTGGGACCGCAGCTTTGCGACCTCCTACACGCACAAACAGAAAAACACATTTCAGAGAGTACAGGCACTTTGATTGAGACAAAGTGTATGAGGAATGGAGTGCAGTCAGTGCTCCTCTGGTAGAGCTCACCTGCTTCAGGGCGATGTTCTCGTCTTTCAGCTTCATCACATGTTTGATCTTCTGCTTCTGGTTCTGGTGGCCCAGCAGACAGACGTAAGCATCAGACAACTTGTTCAACTCCTCTTGGTTCGCTCCATTTTCATTGAGTAGTGCGTTTCGCTCGGCTGCAAACGCGTTCAGCTGTTCCTGTGGGTACATGAGAGGGTTTTAATGCGCTACATTAATTCAACTAAAACATGGAATAAAACTGTTGTTCTCCCCAATTTGGGGAAATGAAACAAGCTGTGCACACGCCACTGCTAATTAGAGCAGTGAGACCAAATCAAAACAGTGGAATCTGTAAGACCAAAATAATGAGCTGAAAGACACTCAAATGTAGAGCTGCCAAAATGAGTTGGTACACAGAAAAATAAATCGGCAACTATTTGGATAATTGTTAAGTAATTTCTCACGCGAAAGTGAAAGAAAATGGTGTCTTTTTCAGGCTCAATTCTGTTTTAAATTGTATTAGATGGGAAAATCTTTGGGTTTTTGACTGTTAAAACAGAAATCTAATCACTATGGATGAGAAAAAAAAATTCTTCCCAGTTTCTCAACTTTAAACACTAACTGATCAATCATTATTCTAGGAAAATAGCCAGCAAGTAAAAATGCAATTGTGTAATTCTTGGTTGCATCCTAACTAAACTGTTGCTGGGATTGCAGAGATAGACGATTCCAATTAGTATAAAAACATGGATTAATCCGGATTTAATAAAAGATGATAATCGATGTTCTATTTTATAACTGACCTGGAAGGGCTTGACTTTCGCAAAAAGCTCCTCATATTGTTCCCTCCACTTTTCATTCTCTGAACTTTGGGAGCTGAGAAGAAGAGAACGAAGGGTTAAAAAGTGTCATTTGTAAAAAAACAAAAAACCCACACAATTAAAAACTGCGCACACAAAAAGAATCCAAACTTCCTCACCTTTTCTCCTGGGCTTCAGTTATCTGTCTCTTGAGTTCCTGTCGCTGCTCCTCCATCTCCCACTGCAGCGTCACCTTCTCCTGAGTCAGAACTTCCAACTGCTCCTGCAGAGCCCGCCTGTCTTGTCTCTGTTCCTCCAACTCGCGCTGCAGAGTCAGGGTCTTCTCCTCCATGATGTCCAATTGCTCCTGGAAGTTCACGCCGCCTTGCACGACCTCCTCCAGGCGAGTTCTCTCCTGCTCTGCCGCGTTTAGTTCATTTTCCAGAGCGAGCCTGGACTGCTCTTTGACTTCCACTTGAGACAGAAGACTCTTCATTTCCTCGTCTATTCTCTCAATCTCTGTGTTTAGTCTGAGCCCCTCTGACCTGACCTGCTGGTGCTCCTCCCTTTCAACCTCCAATGCTTCCTTTTCCACCTGTAGAGCTATCTGAATTTCAAACTTCTCTTCTCTTTCTTGTGTGAGCTGTTCCATTATTTCCTCTTTCTCTTGGCGGACCTCCTCTACCAGTTTCTGGGCTTTTTCCTTTTCATTTTGGAGACCCTGACCTCTCTGTTCCTCTAGTTGCCCCAGAGCCTCTCCTCTCTCTTTTGTCTGCAGCTGTATGTCCTGCTGTAGCTGAGTGATCAGGGCGGCGTGGCTCGTCTCCATGGCTTTTATCTCCTCATCTTTTTGTGCAAGGCAAGTCTGGACCTCCAGCAACTTCCTAATGAGTCAAGGAAAAAAGATAATATAGACAAAACTGAAAGAATGACAGTTATTTCTACGCAAAGGGAATTGGAAGCATACCTTGAATTATCCTGCCTGGCTTTTGCTTCGGCTAACTGTCGCTCCTGGTGCTCCTCTAGCCCCTCCTTAAGTCGGCTGACCTCCTCCTCTTTCTGTTGAAGCACTTTCTCCATCTCCTCCACCTGCTGCGTCACCCTCTCCACCTCCGCTTCCAGTTCTTCCCATCTTCCCTCTGCCCCCCGCAGAGCATCCCTGGCGCTGAAAAGCAGTAGAGAAGCATTCTGTGAAGCGTACACATTGACTGAATTTTACCTACAAATTCCAGGAATACTGACAACTGGAGTGCTCACCTTTCAAGCTCTGTGACGATGTCTGCCATCTTGCTCAGAGAGTTTGTGTGCGCCTCTTGGAGTTCTGTGATGGCTGCTAAATGTTCCTCTTTTAAAGCCACCACCTTACTAAAAATGACAAGAAAACAGTTTTTGTGTGTTAAAATTAGGTACATTTACTGATACAAGTATAGTAAACCTAGCATTTTACATCTTTTATTTTGATCCTTTCTAAAATTGACAGACTTTTTATGCTTGGTTTAAAGGTGATAAACATTTTGTGAAAACAATGTAAAACTAAAATACTTGCCCTGCTGTCAAGTCAATGCAAAATCTAGAAGTTGATCAATAATGACACTTAAGAGAACTGGTCCAACAGTGCTTTTGAAAGCGGAGCAGTTGGCTCATTCATCAAACAGTCGATGGAGAGAAAAATAATATGCAACAATTTGGAGAATCAATATAATTTTACAAGAAAGAAATGACAGACATTATCTGCTTCCTAGCTTCTGAAATGGGGCAATTTTCTGTTTGTTTGTCATGTTATGTGATAGTACAGTCGATATCTTTGAATTTGGGACTGCTGGATGGATACAACAAGAAGGAGTCATCTGGGCTCTAGCATTTCTACTAATTATTAAATAACCCAGCAATTAAAAGACAAATTAATGATAATGAAAATATGTTTTAAGGTGCAGACATAGTTGCAAGGGTGTCTCAAAAGACTGTCGTCCTTTAATTGCCTTGAAAGCCAAGTGCTTACAGCGCATGCGGTATAAATGTAACGGCCCAGGTTAGTTTCTGGCCTTCGGACACTTTTTGCACGTCATACCCCTTTCTCTTTTCCCAATTTGTTCTCATGTCTTGTCAGAACATGCTGTCATTGTTGTCAAAGATGTTTTTTGAGTGGCAGGCCTAGTATTTTTTACTGACTCCGCTCTAAGCTTTCGAATACAATCAAAAAACCTTTTTTCCCTCCAATGCCCTGGTTTCCCTCAGCTTCCAGAGATGAGGTGCCAAGGGGACTTGCAAACTTGAAATTGGGCACAGCAGAAATAGGAAGTGACCCGCTGGGTCAGATCTGTGATGGACTGGCAACCTGTCAATTATTTGTTTCAATTGACTTTGTACTCAGTGCACTGGGACACACTTCCAACTGCTTGCGGCTCAGAATTGTAATACCCAGGCAGTGGCAAAACAAAAAAAGGCCAACTCCGTACAAGTATGATTTCAAACTTCCTCATTTGATGATATATATATATATATATATATATATATATATATATATATATATATATATATATATATATATATATATATATATATATATCTCATCAAATGAGGAAGTAACTTGTAAACTGTAACTTTCTGCCTTGGGTTGATTTTCTCTACGGCTGTCACTCCTAGTCTTTTATCACACCTTTAATACAAAATACTGGTTACCTTCTGTTCTCTGGCATTCGACAGACAGAAGGGTGTGTGACCATTGTCAGGCAAATTATCATACAGATGTCACCGGTTATAATTAACATGTCAAAACTTAACCCCCGTCTGGCAACCATTTCAACAGCCTGTAATGTAAATTACCTAGCTGAGTCCTTCCCCTTTTTCCTGTATGAAGTGCTGGTTTTTCTGTGGTAACTTAGTCAGATCTTGTAGCAAAATCTGCTGCAAACACCTGCCCTTCCAGCTGGAAATAAGATTGATTCTGTTAAATGCTTTAAAAGGTGTCCTATAATGCAAAATGCACTTTTTGATGTCTTTTATACATAAATATGTTTCCCCAGTGTGTCAGGGAACTCACAAAGAGTCAGAAAACAAAACCCTCTTTCTTTTCCTCTGTACCCAAATCTGTAAAAACAGGAGTACAACGGAGCTGATCCAGATTTGCTGCCGACATGACGTAATATCGGAAATGTAGGCTGGCTTTACGCCCACGGACCTATCAGAAACGTTGCTGTATCAGAAATAATGTGCGACGTGTTTTGGACATAATATGGTCTTTGTTTACATTAGCAAGCATTGCTAACACTCAGAGCTAACCTGTACTGGAGAGAGTACATGTGTAAAAGAGCAGAAACCAAAGAAAGGAACTCATCTTGTAGTAAACCCGGAAGAGAAAAAGCATTTGAGCTCCATACTGTTTCAGAAATAATCCTTGATGTGGTTTTGAACATAATATGGCATTTCATCACGGCAGCATTTAGCTGAGAATCTCTCGGTAGCATTCTGAGCAGGTATTAGCTCCCCTTCCTATTATTTGTTAAGCTAAGGACCCCAAATCAGCACTTCTCTGACAGGGCTGAAATAGAGGGATATGAGGCATGGCTAGAATGGGTGATCTGTTTGGTATTTTGAGCAAAACACGTCATAGACATGTTTTTTATATATTTTTATATATCTGAGACCCATAATATATGCCTAAAAATAGCATGATAGGAAACCTTTAAGCTTTTTATCAAATAATACAACTTTGGTTTGAAGCTTGTAGATTTGTTCATTTCTTACCAGAAGGTGATTTATTGTGGAATTTCCACCACAGCCTACACATCTAATCGGTATATTAGCCAATAGTTGCTCACCTCTCAAACAGTGCCCTGGTGTCACTCAGCTGTTTCTCCAGCTCATCGTTTCCTTGCTGCAGCCTCTGGATTTCCTCCTGCCCGCTCTCCGCCATCTCCTGCCTCCTCAGCTCCTGTTCCTCCAAGAGAGTGAGCTCCCCCAGCACCTCCTCCATCTCGTCCTTCAGCTGCCTCAGCCGCTCCTCAGACTCCTCCCTCTCCTGCTCCAACAGCACAGTCAGGGAGTCCACAAGGTCCTGTAGAAAAGAGTTAAGAGTCAGTTGCACTTAGGCGATCATGTGAATCAAAAATAAGAATCTTCCAAGAACGCTGCGTTACCTTTTCTTGCGTCAGTTCCTCAGTAAGTGCAGCATGTTCTTGTTGGAGCGCAGTCCGTCTGTTTTTATCCTCTTCTCTAGCTTCCTTTAGCACGATGAGCTCTGCTTTCAATTCCTCGACTCTCCTCATTCCCTCCTCCTGAGTCTTGCCTAAAAAATTAAAACATCTTATCATGTCACCTCTCAATTTATTTGAATTACCAACGTAATAGGATCGGGCTGAACATACTTCTGTCTTCCTCAGAGAACAGACACCTCTGCTCCAGATGAGCCACTCTCTCGTCCAGCTCCTTCTCGGTCCTCCTGAGCACGCCTCTCAGTCTGGCGAGCTCCGCCTCCTGCTGGCAAACTGTTGCGTGTGACTCCTGGACTTCTTGGTCGGCAGAATGCATCTGCTCCTCCATGTCACTCACTGAGCTATGGGAAGACTTCAGCTCCAGCTCTTGGTTCTTTAACCTCGTCTCCACTTCCAACAAGGCTTCCTTTGATGCCTGCAGCTCTTGCTTGAATTTATTTGCCGCCTCCTCTTTTTCTCTGAGCACAATTTGGGTGGTTTCTAGCTCAATGGTGCGCTGCTCTAGGTCGGTCTCCAGATGCCTGCGGGAGAAGTGGCGAGTGAGTGTCATGACTTGCAGTTAATATCCGACTGTATAAACAATTGAAGCATCTGCTTACTTTACTTTCTCCATCTGAGACTGAGAGTTCTCCACTGTCTTCTCTCTGAGCTTCAAGCGAAGATCCTACAAACACACAAACATGACTATCACAAAGAGGCCTAAAAGATGCCTACTTTTGTAAGATTTGTTCTTGTAAAGACAATTGATACCTGGATCTGGTCATTGGCCGTATCCAGGTATCCCTCCACAACTCTGATCTCATCCCTTAGCTCCCGAATCACACCTGGAAAATAACAGGGAAGAATAGGATTAGGAAGCAAACCCACAAACACATGCAGAAATAGGAAGTTGCCTGTACCCTGTGTTGTACAACAAGGGCATCATTACATTGGATATACTTTATTCACCCTAAATTGGGATTTTTTTGTCACAGCAGTATGTGAACAGGCTATACAAGAGTTACAATTTTAAAAAATTGGACTTTCCCCAACTATATTTAAGTTCCCTATGAAGAGCTAACCTTCAATTTAGAAAATTCCCAGTTTATTCCCATAAATTCCTGTTAATTCCCATGGAAAGTTTCCATCTTTGAAAATTCCCGGAATTTTGCAACCCTAATTTTAATGTGCTCGATGCAAGCTGAAAAACATTCTGGTAGTTATGGGTAAGAAACTACATGTGTTTCAAGTAAAACAGCCATACAGAACTCACCATGTAATCTCGCGTTCTCATTCTCAAGCTCTTCGTTCTGACGTTTGGTCACGTGATGCAGGTCCTCTGTGAGGAAGAAAACCCCTGTTTACTTTTGTTCCTCTACATATGTAACCATGTTTGTTTCATTACTAACACTTTCTGTTGCTTTTACATCTTACCCAAGTCCTTATTCCTGTCCTTCAGAGATTTGACAGTCGCCCTGGCAGCTTTCAGGTCAGTTTCAAGCGCCTTTACTTGGCCTTCAGTGTTAATCTGCAGGACCTTTAACTCCTGGATCCACACAGACACTTTACGTTAGCATTGTATATGTGAATAGCAGTCAGTTGTGATTAAACCAATTGAGGATTTTTGTAATACTCAATATTTAAAGAATGTGTAAGTGATACCTTGTTTTTAGCATCCAAACTGTTTCTGGCCTCTGTCAACTCTGTTGTGAGCAATATAATTCTCTTCTTTGTAGTGTCAGCAGAAACCTAAAAAAGCAGTCACACTTGTCATGCAAGACAGCAAGGAACTCAAACATGCTTTTAGCACTGAAGATGCTACCATCAAGGCTTAATCAAGACAGGATTTCTAATTATTACACTTAATACAAACATCAGAACTAATCACACCTTGTTTTTAAGGAACTCATTGATTTTCTTGAGCTCAAGCAGCTGTCTGTCAAGGGTGGTAACATTGGCAGAAAGGCCCGTCTTTTCCCTGACTGCAGCCAGCAGCTTGGCCTCCACCTTCTTCAGGTCTTCTTCCAGAGCCAGCATGCAACGGTCCTGCTCCCCTCGCTGCTGAACCAGGGACCGAATCTGGATGAAAACAAAACTAGGGTTATGATTTCAACATTTGTAGTAGTAGGAACAATGGTAAAGAAAACATGTATGTATCACCAGTTGCTCAGTAATGCTTTAATGACATGGAACAGGAATTATACAATCTAAAGTAGTACATCTATAGCACAAATGTTGATTTGATGAAGTGTACCTCTTTTTCCAGGAGTTTCTGCTGCTTCCTTTCCACGGTCATGCCATGCTTCTCTTTCTTCACACCTGAACCTTCCATCTAGGTGTTCACAAGAATGGGAGCGGGTTAGTTTTATGACAGTAGCAGTTGTTGGACTAGAAAATATGTAAATCAGGAGCTATCTAAGTGGCATATTAACAAGCTTAAATAAAATAGAACTTACAAGACCATCAACTGACATGGTCCTACGGACAGGAGACATGAAGTCACTCCTGGTCGTTGGTGTTGGTGGAGGAAGAGCCGCTGGAGACACAGGACGGTGAAAATAGGAGACACAAAAAGTTAGGTTTTAGATCATAACGTTATTGTTGGTAATGTTTTGTTTTAGTGTTGTTCTCATCAAATGTACCCACCTGCCTTAACACGTCTGAACCGATCAGATCTGTCGAAGGAAGCAACTCCCTTAAGCTCCCCGGGTTTGATCTCATATGACCCGGGTGCAGGGGCACATCCTTCGGACAGAATCACAACGTTAGCCGCCTCTTCTTAGTTAGCTTCACTAAGCGTTACTTAGTTTAAACATGCACTTCATGCATTATGACTTGTCAGTAAACACGACAGAAACCCGCACTGACAAAGTGTAACCGGTTAATGTTTGCTAAGCAATAAACACCGTTAACGTTAAATTGCTTAAGCATGTCAGCTAACATAAGCTACTTACCGTTGAATAACTTAGTGGATCATTTGCCAACATGCTTCTGACTACTAGCTTGTAAACGTCACTTACCTACGTTCTCGTTGAACCTTTTCAAAGGAGCTCTTGGAAAAGACATTTTAAATCCACTTTAAGGTAAAAAAAAAACAAAAACAAGGCCGCAGTGCAGCTCCGAGTGACACACAATAACAGAAAGTTCGCCGCTGAAATTTCAAAATAACGTCATGCGTACGTTACGTCCGTGTGGCCAATAGAGAGCCTCGCTTGGACTACACAGTCCCGCCCATCGTTGTCTCGCACACATTTTCGCCCAAACCCATATTCTTAATAAATAACTGATTTTATAGTATTTTGTGGAATTATTATAAATTCTGTATATTTTTTACGCTATTCATCGATCAAAGATGATTGCAACATGACTGCTTATTCAAAGCTGGATTCGCTAGAACCTTCCTAACATACTTTTGGAACCGAGTGAAGTACGTTTTATGTTGGCAGACTTAACCTATTATACATCCATGGACTTAACTTCCATATCCAGTGACATCTTCATCAACTCATAAGTCTCATTTATTATTTTTAAATTGTGGAAATACAGTGCTGAATTGGTTCGAAGCCATTGGGTCACATGACATGGCTCTTAAACATTAAATGAGACTTTTCAATAAAGCAACTGCCTAATTTTCACCACAATATTCATATAACCTAAAATTGAAAATGGACAACAATTCAATAAAAAGAAGGGTGACTTACTTGTGAAAAAAATTAGACTTTCTAATGAAAAAACAAATATTCAGATAAATGACAAAGAAAACGTAACACATAAACGGGTCCTAGATATCCTGATACAAAAAGTATGACATCCTATGCTCCTATCATTTGTCAGGTTTTCAGTTGGAGTGCAAGTATAACGTAAAGTTATCTGTCACAATCATAGGTCACAATGCACATCGGAAAAGGATGCTTTAAGACAAGGCTATTCAACTTCATTAGCAAGTGGGCCAAATAGGGAAATCACTGGGGGTTTGTGGGCCACACAATACTTTGTCAAGGAATCACTACAAATAACTCTTGCTTACAGTAGTGTTAATACGAATACATTAAACTAGTCACGTGCATCCCTTTTTTTCACTTTAATTGTATCACCATAAATCATTGCAGAAAGCAACCAGTCCATAACAAAGTAGGAAAGCTTCGGTTACAAGGCTTGACACAAAAGTGCAAAATGTTGCATCTTTAAAACTAAGGAGACATGAGGTTTTTTCCCCTAACAGTTCCATGTCCACTAATGTACAAAACAAGATGAATATAATAAAACAGTATTCATCACATTAACAGTAAGTAGCCCTGTTTATAATATCCTCAACACTTCCAAGCATACATAAGGTGCTTTGAAGACAACACAAATCCATAACATGTAATATTAAATGCAAATAGAACATAGTAAAACAATAGCCATCAGACTCACAATAAAATTCATATTTTTGATTTTTTTTTACAATTTGCAAAACAGTAGTAGGCTTGTTTGAATGACCATAAAATGAATGACCATAAAAACAGATCTGCATACATACCATACATCAGACTTCTGTCATGTTTAGCCTGTTTGAGTCAGTGAGAGAAATTACACTGCCTTGATTTAGCTATTTCAGCATAGTTTGGCTCATAAGTGGTAAGAGCAATCCTGAGACACTCGTGCAACTTCTCATTGGTCATGGAGCAACGTGCCCTTGTTTTAATGGCATTCATATGAGAAAAGCTAGACTCACAAGTATAGGTAGATCCAAACGGGGGGTTACGTATTGTAACCCTAGTTATATAAGTACAGGCGGAGCCCTCTACTGGACTCTATGGGTACTACCTCTCAACCATACTATGCGAGCATTCACCTACTGAGATATCTATAAACGTAGCCGGCCCCTCGCGGCGGGCCTACCTGAATGCGCGCGCAAGCTCACCGTATATAAGGCGGCCACGCCTCCTGACTGTCATCCTACACCCTCTTCAGCGAGCGGCATTGGACAGACAGGGCCCCAGGAAGAGGGCTCCGCCTGTGCTTATATAACTAGGGTTACAATACGTAACCCCCCGTTATATCTTACACAGGCTCCGCCCTCTACAGTGGGTGGAGCCCTGATGGATAAACGCCCTGTCGTCCAACAACATCGACCCATCACACTGCCCCTGACCGGCTTTTGGTTAACAGCCACTGCACCGCAACTTCTTCTCCTCCAGTTGTGACCGTGGAGAAGTTGGGGCCGCAGCTTGGATAGAGCACACTCACACACGCTTACCTCGTGTAGAGTGTGCATGGACGATAGTGGGGAAGGCTCACCCCGCCCGCCCACAGGCAGGCGGGCAGAGTCCTCCAGCCCTGTATGGGGCTTACTGCGCACCATGTTTCCCGGGTCCCTAAGGAGCATGGGAAAACATAAGTGCATTATGTCCAGGGGGGGGGTCAGATACCTACTGCAATTTAGCCTCCCTGTCCCCAATATGGGGTGGAAGAAAAAAGCCGTTTAACTGTTTAGCCCTCGACCTGAACGAACTCCTTAGGTTCTTGGGAACAAAGGAGGGGTTCGGTCTGAGTGTCGCCCCGCTATGGTCACCCCGGATCAAAAGGCAACTCTGGTGCACCGACAGAGCGGCCAGCTCGGACACTCCCCTGGCCGAAGTCAGGGCAAGCAGCAAAGCTGTTTTCAATGACAGTGCTTTCAGGGAGGAGAGCTCCAGAGGCTCAAATGGTTCTGTGACCAGAGCCTCGAGCACCAACGGCAGATCCCATTGCGGGGAGGAGGCATGCACCACTGGGTGCTGTCTCCCCCAAAACCGCGTCATAAGCGGCTGACCTGCCGTCAAATCTCTCATGGCAGGACGAAATGGCTGCTGCATACACTTTAATTGTGGAATGAGCAAGCCCCCTGTCCACCAGTATCTGTAAATAGGACAGAATAGAGCCCAATGTACATGATAGAGGCTCTAGACTCCTTTCTTCACACCACCGCTGGAATCCCAACCACTTCGTCCTGTAACAGGCTGTGGTGGATCCTGCTCCTGCTGCCTGGATAGTCTGAATAACTTTGTCAGACAGTCCCTTCCGTCTCAGCCTGTCCCTCTCAGGAGCCAAGCCTGGAGAGGTTGGCCCAGAGGGGGTAACGCCCCTATTGCACCTGCTTCCTGAGACAACGCCCCCGAGACCTGAGGAACCGTCCAGGGCTGGCCCACCATCATCTGTGTCACCTCTGCGTACCACGGCGCCAAGCGGCGACCTGGGGCCACTAGGATGACTGACAGACGTTCTCGTCTCACCCTCTCCGGGAGGGGGAGAATGAGACGCAGCGGTGGAAAGGCGTAGAGCAGCTATCTTGGCCACTGCTCGTGTGGAAACGTGTCCACCCCCAAGGGTGGATTGTCCTGCCGAGCCAGGGAGAACCACCATTCATCTGGCAGGGGCCCGCCTCTTGACCTGAGGCCGGCCGCCCTGTTCTCCAGTTCCGGAATGTGGGGGGCCTTCAGAGATAAAACATTATCTGAGGCCCACAACCACAGGTTCTCCGCTGCGCTAAACAAGGCAGCGGTGCTGACTCCGTCCTGCCTGTTGATGTAAGCCACTGTGGTGCGTTTGTCACTCCTCACCAGCACATGTTTACCCTGTAGTAAGGGTTTGCAGTGCTGTAGGAGCAGTACTACTGCCCGTAGCTCTAGAAGGTTGATGTGCCGAGTTTCTGTCAGAGGCCAGCCACCACCTATAGCTCTCTCTAGGCAGGTCCCCCCCCCATCTTGTCACGGATGCATCTTGAACACCGTGACGTAGGAGGTCACCCGCCCCAGCGGAGTTCCCCTCCGCAGATGCTTTGGGGACCCCCAGTATCGGAGGTTGCCCTCCACTGAGGGGGGGGGATGGTCACCAGACGTCGTTTGTGCCTCTTGGGATCTAAACGAAGGCCGGAAAACCACCTCTGCAGGCGAGTAAGTAACCCCAGCGGTACCACGAGATGAGCAGCCGCCATGAGACCCAGAGTCTGCATGATGGTCAAAGCTGTCACCGTTGCCCCCTGTCGCAGTCTGCAAACTGCCTGAAGCAGGGATGCCTGTCTGCTCTCTGACAGGGTGGCACGTAGTCTGCCTGCTGGTGAGGTATGGGACTGCTCTTCTTCCAATTGACCGCAATCCACTTGGATCAATTGGGCTGTGTTTGCCTCTTCCCTGGACCTGGCCATGACTATGAGGTCGTATTACAAAACCCTCATGCCATGGTCGTGAAGCGGCTGAAGCGCTGTGGCCACACATTTGCTGAACGTGCGTGGGGATAGGGAGTAGCCAAGCACTGTGGAGTCGCAGCTAATAAGCTGTTGCACTCTCTGGTGGCCCCCTCCGCCGCCAAACCTTCCATAAAAGGAAGATTGGCTCATGGGGGGCTGACACAGAAAGGGCCGATTTTCTACTGAGGTCCTTGAACGCACTGCGGCACGCGTCATAATGCCTTCTTCACACAGACGGTGAAGTGCATCAATCGGAGCTATTACACTAGGTGAGGTGTGTTTTCTGACAACAACACGCCGGCCATAATGTCCCTGCATAGCGCTCTGACAGCACTTCCTGCGGTTAATCACACTCACATGCGCGCGCCCACTGGCTGCCTCCTTTACTGGAGTAAACGCGTTACGGCCGCGTTACGGCCACGCTACGACCGCGTTACGGCTGTGCCGCGGCGTTCGCAAAGATCGCGGCCACTCTAGTCAACGCGAGGCGTTGCAGAGGCGCCGGGCAGGAAGTGGACCGTTCCTCTGAGCCCACGGGAAAACTGGCAGAAAACGAGCCGTGATTTGAGTTGTAACGTGTAACGTGAGTTTGACTGAGGCTGGAGCCACACGAGGACGATAACGCAAACGGACCGCAATCGTTATCAAAAAAGTCTTCCGTCCACACACAACAGGCACCAGAACACACGAGACCGCTCGAAAGCACTGGAGATGCTGTAGTACATATTCCAGGCCTGTAAGTGGCGCTGTACTTCAGCACGAGACCGTTCGAAAGCGCTGGAAACGCTGTAGTACATATGCCAGACCTGTAAGTGGCGCTGTACTTCGACCACAAAATACGCCAAAAGCAGCGAAGAAGACTTCTCGTGCATGCATGGTTGCCATGGTTGCCCTTCTGTTTATTCTCCGCGCTGGATTTAGCAGCAGAGGTAGG